CAATTTCGAGGGGAAAAATACATAAAATTGAGTTATCATGGAAGATTTTAAATTTTTTTTGGTAGAACTGATAAAACACCAAAATGAGCAACAATTACAAATGCAAAAATACCAAAATGATCTACAGTTAAAGCTACAAGATAAATGGCAAAAACAATTATTACAAACCCAAAAGGAAAATCAAGAAAGGCAAACAGAGCTCCAAGAACTAATATTGAAAGTAGCGGGCAACAAGCAATTCGAAAATTGATATTGAAAAAGAAGCAACATTTTCGGAAGACGCAGTGTAGAGTACCATAGAGATTTTCAAATATTCTCTAGAGGAGGACAAAAATTTTGGCGATTACTTCAGAAGACATGAAGACATCTTTAACATAGACTGTCAAAATTGACAGAAACAAAAAAGCTACGTCTTTTGCTTGGAAAATTAGGAACTGAAGAATATACAAAGTTCGTGGATTATATCTTGCTAAAAAAGACGAACGAATTAACATTTGACGAAGCAGTGACATGTCTTAAAGAACTCTTCAGCCCCGAAAACATCACTCTTCCATAGGAGGGGAAATACGTTAACCTAGTAAATGGGCGATAATGAGGATTATTCCACGTTTGCCGCAATCGTAAATAAACATTGTGACGACTTCAAACTAGCAGAATTAACCCCGGACAATTTCAAATGTCTCATCTTTGTTCAAGGGTTAGTTTCTACAAAAGTTAGCGAAATGCGCAGAAGAATGCTTGCAAAATTACAAAATGAACCGGGTCTAACATTACAGCAATTATCAGAAGATTGACAGAGATGTTTAAGCATAAAGAAAGACGCAAAGGACATTGAAGAATCAGCTGTTTCTCATATACGTAAGTTAAACAAATGTCTACGTTCTTCACCCTCCCCGGAAAGAAAACTAAAATTTTACGACAATGAAAAAAGATTCTCACCTTCCTCGGAAAGAAAACGAAAATTTTATGATAAAAGAAAAAGTACAACATACAGGACAAATTATGACGAATATCGAAACCAATATAAGCCCCCTCCATCAGCATGTTATCGATGTGGAGGATTACATTGGAACAAGGATTGCCGCTTCAAATATAAAAACTGTCTTGAATGTGGAAAAAAGGGCCACAAGGCATTCCAATATAGAAATAGAAAAGATACTAATAGGATAAGAGTCATAAGGATGAATAACGATGACAACACCAATGTAAGGAAATATGTGGAACTGGAAATTTTAAATAAAAAGATTAAATTACAACTGGATTCGGGTTCCGACCTCACGATAATCAACTGACAGACGTGGAAAAAACTCAACAGACCTACCATGTTACCCACTCAAAAAATTGCCAAGTCGGTTACAGGCAAACGAATAAAATTTGAGGGAGAAATAATCGTGAATGTTAAATTTCACGGCAAATAAAAAAAAAACTTAAGATTTCCGTCATGAAATATACTGAAAATCTAGTAGGTATCGAGTGGATGCAGAAATTCAACATTTGGGACCTACCTATCAACTCGTTTTGCAAAAAGTTAGAGGTTGAACCATCAGAGACTATAAAATTGAAGGAGGAATTATATAATCAATTTCCTGAGGTATTTTCAAGCGGGTTGGGACGATGCAACAAATTTAAGGCCAAAATAGAATTAAAAGAAAACGTCCAACCAATTTTTAAAAAGAAGCGAAATGTACCGTTCGCTACTATAGAAAAAATAGACAAAGAATTGGAGAGACTTGAACAAACTGGGATTCTATCAAAAACAGAGTTTAGTGAGTGGGCAGCGCCGGTGGTTTATGTAAAAACGAAGTCAGGAGAAATTCGCATATGCCCAGATTTTTCGACGGGACTCAACAAGGCAATAAAAGACCACCATTACCCATTTCCGAGCCCAGAGGAGATATTTACAAAGCTCAACGGCGGTAAGATATTTTCAAAATTAGATCTTAATGAGGCTTATCTACAAATTCCAGTACAAGGAGAGAGTACGAAAATCCGTTGCATTAATACGCACAAAGGGTTGTACAAATTCAACAGACTACCATTCGGAGTACAAGTTGCACCTGCAATTTTTCAGCAAACGATGGACAAAATACTAATGGGCCAAAATTTCGCGACCGCTTATCTAGATGATATTCTAATTAAGAGCGACAATGTTGAAGAGCACACATCACACATAAAAGAAGTTTTTAAAGACTTCAGGACTTCGGCTTCAAAATAAAAAGGAGAAAAGTGATTTTTTTTTCATAAATGAAATTAAATATTTAGGTCAGATAATAAATGAAAATGGCAGAAAACCGGACTCAGAGAGGGCATCGGCAATTAAAAATATGCCGGAACCAAAAACTGTTGCAGAACTACAAAGTTTCCTGGGCTAAGCTAACTCCTATGGCGAATTTATTGATAATATATATAAACTGATTCCGACTAAATAAGTTACTAAAAAAGGATTAATAATTGGAATTGGACAGATTCTGTAAAAATCATTCAAGGAAATCTTACAAAAATTTCTTGTCAGTTATTCATTGAGACGAATTTCGATCCTGAATCCACAAAATCATTTTTAAAAAGTGACGCGAGGTTTTTTCCTTATTTGTATTTTCAAGATGCGGAACGGTACAAACAAGTTGGGGTTTCTTCACGCATCTAGATCATCATGGCATAAGAGACAAAACACATAACTCCCCACAAAAAGGATCCAACATGCAACTGTTAGGGTAACTCTTTCATAGATATTGAACTCTTACCACTGTAACGCGGATATATATATATAATATATATATATATATATATATATATATATATAGAGAGATAATATACGAAGGAGATAGATGTGAGTTTGTGATCCTGGGTTAAAAAAAGTTACAAGCTAAACGTGAACTCTAAGGGTCCAAACTTGAGATCTATATATATAAATGCATTTGCTATAACTGCGTTCCTGGATTTACTAACAGTATTCTAATTTGTATGATTGTGTAAATACATTTTTTTTCTTATATTTAATTCCTGCGTTTGTCCTTCATTGCAGACCGAATTTCATCTCGGAATCCACAACATAAACACATGAACACACACATTGTTAAAAAAAAATATTTCTAGTTAATTACTTTTACAAAAAGGCAAACATGGCCAAAAGAAAATACAAATGACCAATGGAACCTAGTCTAGCGACAACACAGTGCCATCTACCGCAAATTTCTTTAAATGTCGCCTTTAACTGAAAATTCAATAATTAAAAAAAATGATTTGCGGATATATATTTATATGGACTTTTGACCATTTGACGTGAGGAATCTGTCTCTTAAATTTGTAGAAGTTATTTTTGTACACTCTATATTCCATGTTTATAAATTATCCCCATTGGAATCGTAATCGCGATCCAATTCATTAGACCTTTTTGAATTTGTAGGTCTGATGAGGATGGATCAAATGAATACGATTCTACGTTTATACAATAAACAATAACCATGGAATGGGGTGTTTGATCCTCCATAGATATATACTTATTCTGTCCTGGAATTTAGTTCTGTATTTTTAACATCTTGAAACAATATATATATATATATATATATTTATATATCTCTTTGACCATAATATTATCTATCTATCTATATATATATTATATATTTATATATATATATATTGACCATCAAATTATCTATCTATCATCTATCTATCGATCAGAGATATCTATCTCTCTCTAAATATATATATATATATATATATATATATAATATATAAATAATCGCTTAAAAACAAAATACATATAGGTTCCTGTGTGAAAATTTATCAAACAAAGTGTATCATAACGAAAAGTTTACATAAAATTCTGGATTGATGCTGTTAATATTTTTCGACTGTGTGCAATCAGGTTGGGGACAACATCAGACACAGTGAACAAGCATCAATTATTCGGCGGATACTCAATCGGGTACATTTTTTATAGACAGAAAATTAGTTAAATTGAGAATTGTTCGGCTCGAAGACCCTCTTTTTCAGAGTTCATTCTGTAGATTTGGATAGGAAAATATTTTGGACATTCAAATAATAATGTTTTATTTCAGAGACCTTACATGAGTTACCTGAAAGCAGGCTGGGATAGTTTGAAGCTTATATTGAAGATGTCGTATCGATCTCAGCATTCTTCAATAATAATTTTCTACTGTTTTAACATTTGGACAGGTTAGGGACCAAGGAAGGATGTGGAATTACAGACGACAGAGAAATTTCGAAGTTCAAGAAATTATATTGCAATAAAATGATATTTTCGCTGCGTCCAATTAGTATTCGCTGCTTAGAAAGACGACCAAATATTTAACATGAAATGGTTCCTATATTAAGTTCAAAACTTATCACTTATAAAAAGTGGTAAGAAAATTCCAGTAATATATTTTCAATCTTTATATATATATATATATATATATATATATATATATATATAATATATTGTTCTTATTTTTATATTTGTTATGGTCCAGGTTTGGATTTAAGAAGAACAATACGAGCATAAAAAGTAGAAATAAACGAATGTACGGAAACACGAAATAATAAATAAGATGTGGAAAAAATATGACTGTCAGTCTGGTTTGGAGTGAACTACTATCGAAGTTCTGAATGATTTGTCCTTTCTCTCTAGAGATGCAAATATTTTCCCATTTAGTGTTAGGAAGAGTTCTTTTCGGAATCTGTTATAACTTGTCGGACCAACGACGTTTTTTTTAAAAAAAAGTGAAACTTGTTAGATTAATTTACTCTTCCTACTTGTTCTTCATTTATTTTATCTTCCTATCGGATTCCTGTCCATCTCTGTTCAATATTTGATGTTTAACTCAGTGGGTTGTCAATTCTTACTGCAGTAGATAGGTGGCCAACCAAAGTCTTAATTGAACCTTTTATATATATAGCAACAAATGGACTATTATTCAATTCTCAATGTTGTCTTTTGTGTAATTAAGTGAATCAAATGAAATAATGAATGGTTTTAATCAGACAGTTTTATTGTTGAGTGTTATAATGTTAAATTCAACTTTATATATATATATATATATATATATATATATATATATATATATATATATATATAAATATATATTATTTGTATCGAAATGACCAGATGACCTGACATTAGTCTTAAAACATGAACACGATTCCACATTCTTTTTAATATGAATACAAAAAGTATTTAAGTAAAGCCAAATGTTTAAAATAAATAACACCACCTACAAACACATTTAAGAAAATGTTACTTGTCTAATGTTTATTATAAACTGGCTCTGTGTTAAATTTATCTCTAAATTAATTTTGTAATAAAAGGAGTGATTTGAAGAAATTTACGAAAAATATATATTTAATAATATGAATAAATATATATCATATATAAATTAAATATATATAATTTATATCGTATATTTATTTGTATAATTGTATTTTTATATATAAAAAGATAGCAATATAGGGCTCCCGATAGATTCCAAAATCACCACAACAGTCGATGAATCATATATATATATATGAACTATTCAATTTGATTGATCGCCGATATATATATGATCGAACCGTTATAAAATACGTCGGATATGACAATAGTTTTCTATGCCAATATGGGATATAGGTTCGAATATATATATAAGAGCGAATATTTTTCTTTAATAAGATTTCTCGAATATTAGGCTGGTGGACGAAAATAAATAAATAAATATATTAATATATATATATATATATCAAATATGGGTGCAATATATATATATATATAATAAAATATATATATATATATATACAATATATACAATATATATATATATATATATATACAATATATATATATATATATATATACAATATATATATATATATATATATATATATATATATAATATATATATATAAATATATATATATATATATATATATATTCAATATATATATGTATACAATATATATATACAATATCAATATATATATATACAATATATATATATATATACAATATATATATATACAATATACAATATATATATATACAATATATATATATATATATATAATATATATATATATATATATATAATATATATATATAATATAAAATATATATATATATATATATATATATATATATATATATATATATATATATATAAGCAGAAATAAGAACATATATTTATATAAAACTGTCTTTTCTTTATAAGCATGGCTTCATATTTGTCTGCGTGTGCGTGTGAGAAAGCAAAACGGAGAGAAAGAGAGCGAGCGATGGCATGCAGGAAATGGTTATCGAAATTCCTGTCTAATGCATAATAATTTTATACTTAGAACACCATGAAAAAAAAATTATGCTCTGTGGGGTCAATATGTCTGACTTCAGGGCAGTTTAAAAGCCCTGCCACATAATCTGAGTGTAGATGACATCCGCTTCTGCTCAACCGTTGCTATGATACCCGTTAATATACCCGGTAATCAGGACACTGTTTCCGGCAATCGGCTGTGAGAAATTCGCCGCACTTCCGGTATTTGTCGCCTGGTAACACTTGTCGATCTATGATGGATGCTGTCGATGATTGGGAGACTTCAGACAAAAGAAATGGAATATGTATTGCGAACGAGATTGTCAAAATGTATAGCAAACGTTTGAAACGTATATATATATATATATATATATATATATATATATATATATATATATATATATATATATATATTGTCTGTCGTATTCAATGGAATGTGCATGAAAGAAGGATTGCTGCCTAAATACGCAAATTTTAAATTGCATGACATGGCAGCTAGCAAGGAAATAAAAAAAAAAACTAAATTAAAGCACCTTGTCTGTCGTATTCAATGAAATGTGCATGAAAGAACGATTGCTGCTTTGGTACACAAAACATATATATATATATATATATATATATATATATATATATTTGTCTATTTAAGCAGCAATCGTATATATATATATATATATACATATATACATCTGTTTCATATATATATATATATATATATATATATATATATATATACACGCTTTGGCAGTAAGGGACTACTTTAACAAAACCATTCCACAGCGTTGGTTCGGGAGTAGGTGAAGCATTGATTCGCCGCCTTGTTCACCTGACCTAACAGAATTTGATTTCTTTTTCGGGGCGGGGGGGGCGATGGCGAAGCATCTTCATTCTCTTCCTATTTCATTTGTAAGTAAAGAACTTTCACTCGGACAGCTTCTTTCCGAGAACCAGTACTTTGATCAAGAATTTAACTTTCCTCTATGGTACTTAGACTTTATAAATGTAACCGCAGTACTAGATTGGCGGCGAGGTCTCATCATTTTACAGATGAAATGGTTGATTGTAACCGAAAGTTATGTGTTCACAGTTTCGTCTCTCGCACGTCTCCCTTATGGAACTCTCTTCCAGCTCCATTCTTCTCTTTCAACTTTGATGTTTGAAAATTTGATTGCAATGTCAATCGTTATCTTTTGTTTTCTTAATTGTTGTTCTTTTATTGTTTTCTCTCTTTATTAGTATATTTTTATCGTATTCACTAACACTGAATGACTGCTTCCGTCTTAGCAATTTTATTACCTTGATTGAGGTGAAATGATTTTAAAAACAAACAAACATATAGGCTGTTTCTGCGATGACTACTATTTTAACTTTTTCAATCTAAGAGAAACGTTATCTATCCTCGCTAACCACAAAAGATGCACTTAATTTCTCCATGCAACCTTCTAACTAGAGTGTTTTTTTCACCTTGTATTGGTTGAAAAGAAAAAAAAGAAATATTTTTTGTCAGTTAAATGATCCTTGTTTTGTTACAGTTTGAAGTTGAGAATTGGCAATGCTTTTTTATTAACATCAGCGTTTGCCTTCTTTGCTCAGAGAAATAGTTTATCAGCTTAAATGCATTATTCAAGTGGTTAGAATAATTTCTCTAACATTCAAGTAGTTTGAAGTATTTCTCTAATATTCAAGTGGTTAGAAGTATTTCTCTAATATTCAAGTTGTTAGAATTATTTCTCTAATAATGTTAATTCGTTTAAGACATATTGCGTCCTTATTCAGTTTTCTTCCATGTTATCATTTGTATTTGGGATTAATTAAAATTTCCGAATCTTCGCTGTACGTGTTTGGATATACTGAAATTCTAGAAGACTATGCACATGCAAGTAATTATTTGTCTTATTTTATCTACCCCGTCCCTTCTGGACATGGGCGATCTTAGCGATCCTTATTTTCTATTCTCTTGTGACCATGAGAAGTGTTCAGCATTTTATCTAGCTTAACACGAAAATCATTGACCATCTTGGCCTCTCCCATATTTCAATTGCCGGTTGTTCAGAATAACATTAGGGGAATTTCGAACGGGAATTCTAGTTCCGCTGTCCACTCTGCATATTAACTGAGAGTCCACAGTCAAGTGAAATCGGGGAGTGCAAATAGGTGAACAGTGCTCAATAGGTACAAGACTAGACATCCATTGAAATAAACGTTGGAATGAGTCGAATCTGAAGAGGGCGGCAGGGAACAACGGCCGAAAAGTTATCATCAAAGTTACGAACATGAAGACATTATGTAAAAATAATTACGCACCCATTAAATTCACAGAATTTAAAATTTAAATTACTATTACGCATCAGTCTTCACGTTAAAGAGAAAATGTCCACACACACACACATATATATATATATATATATACTCGATTCTCCCGTCCAACTCGACGTATCACGTTGAAGCATATCAGTTCCCAGGAAACTGACAGCCCGACGTCAGCACATGAGATTAGATTATAGTGGTGAAGGTTTTGTGCAGAACCACCCACACGTTTTGAAGGGCTGAATACAGAGACCTGGTTCACTACGTGCCACAAAGTTCCCAAAACGACCCTCCACTGGTTTTGAATTCAGAGTTGTCCTTCTCCTAGTTCAGTTGCCATCCAAGGCTATAGAACCCAGTCTGTCCTGCTATTTACCGATAGCTGGAGGGAAACGAAGAGAATTAATACCTTTCCCCAGGTTATTAGCTCGTAAGTGAATATAATGGATGCGACTGGAATTCGAACTCGGCTCTCCGATTCCTCAATCCGAGCCGCTATCCATTACTCCACCATGCCTCCTACGTAATTTCCCCATGCAACCTTCTAACTAGAGTATCTTTTTCACCTTGTATTGGTTGAATATTTAGTGAAAAAAAAAACAATGCCTCCGTTTAACCAATTGACACATGTATATATACTGGTAGAAAATACAAACATAATTACCTCATCCACGTGTAAAAAAGATAAAAAAATAATGCCAGCCTTAATAATAAAAAAGAAAAAGCCAACACTATAATATTAACTACGAACACGGCCACAATGTGCCAATTGTCTTGCGGAAATAAAGTATCCTATAACTCTAGTGACATACACACCACCCATAAACCTAATTAAAAAGCAAAATAAATCATCCTTGATAATGCCTTAAAACTATAACCGAAAGTGCTCGTAATTACTGAGCATTTGGACAGTTTCTACACACTCTGTGTCCAGAATGGAAAAAAACATTGTTCAAGCAAGAAAAATGAAGCAAAAAGAATAATCACAGTAACTTCTCTGAGGTCCTTAATGAAACATATATAAATGAAGGATTGCTGCATATTAAACACACGCACGTTTATATATATATATATATATATATATATATATATATATATATATATATATATATATATATATATATATATAATATAAAAAAGGCTTAAACACTAATATTCCATGGTCATAATTTATTCCATTGGAATCGTAAATACGATCCAATTCATCAGACCTACAAATTCAAAAAGAAAACAGAAAAAACAACTCCGGAAGTTTAAAGAGAATTTAGAGAGAGTGTAAGTATGAGGGGGAGAGAGATTAAACCTTAACAGAGGGAATATTAGGAGAGGTGGGTGGAAGGTTTTTTCCCCTCTCTCTCTATATATATAACTTTTGCTGCCTTATGCTTTTTTCACATATACACACACACGCACACACCTATATATATATAATGTGAAAAAAAGCATAAGTTTGCAAACATTTTATTTTCCCAATTTTTGAATGAGATATTTCACATCGGAATCAATATTGTCTCTAAACTGTCCAAAGTTCACATTTTCTTCATGAAGCCCTTTCAATATCAATAAGTATGCGTTGTCAATACTATAGCGAAGATTTTACTAGCTGTCTCCTGACATTTTTCAAACGCTAAAATGAAAAATGTTCTAAAGACCATGTGTCAATTGGTTAAACGGAGTTTGATCCCCCTGTAAAAGATTGTATTATTATTATTATTATTATTATTATTATTATTATTATTATTAAGATCTTCAAAGATACATTACAATCTACAGAGCCTGCCTAGATTCTGCTCTGTGATCTTTGATCACGACGTCTAGGCGATTAGATTTAATTTTTCTGTCTGTATTGCAAAGTCCCATTAAACTGTTACAGGTGCTATTTCCGTAGACGGGTCAGGGTGGTGTTCGCACCAATTTTTTTGCAGTGTCCTCCTAAAGCTCTTTATTATTATTATTATTATTATTATTATTATTATTATTATTATTATTATTATTTCTTTTGATTTCTGTTGTAAACATATTTCCTTCCGGGTCCCAACCATAAACCTAAGCTCAGAGATGGTTTCATGACATTTTCCACTGATCAATTTTTTTGCAAAAATAGCAAAATAAATAAATAAATAAAAAATAAACAACTAAGACGACAGCATTTTACATAAAGCTCTTTGTCATATGTGAGATGTAGTTGTGATTACAATTGTTTGTATTTCTTAAAGATTGAATCTATGAATGAATCTATCGAACCCTTTTCCACTCAATCTGAATGATGAGATTTTCATTTCAAGATCCTTGTATTGTTATACATTCTTTTTTATATCTTCAAAGATACATTACAGCGTCCAGGGGCTGCCTAGTCAATAAGGACGCACATTCTGTTCTTGTGGTCTTTGATCACAATGGCTGGGCGATTAGATTTGATTCTTCTGTATGTGTGTATTGTAAAATGTCATAAAATTGTTACATGTCCTATCTCTGAAACCAGTTTTTATCTCATCTTCTGTCATGTTATCAATTTCCACTGTTATTTTTTTTATTTGTTGTCGATTGGATTATATCTGATTGTATTTTGTTTTATATTTAGTTTTATCTTAACTATTTCTCTATTTGAGTGCCTTTCATTGCGTATGATGTCCCAGCAATCATTGGTATGCCTATTTGGGTTGAGATATAGTCCTATTTTTCTTCCTAACATATCCTCTCTCTATTTGGTATGTCTGATTAGTAATGTTATTTGTGGCTTTTCGAGTGCTTTGAAAAAGATGCCAGGACCTGTTTATACTCGCTACGATCGCCATTTCGTTCGCTTTTTTTTAATAAATTGATTTGGCATTAAGTCCCCAGGTCCGGTGACAAGGTGTCTCACTGTTGATGGAAGAGTGACAGGGTTTTCGACCCCCACCCCCTGGTTCCTCGCTGAGGGACGAGGTACTTGTTTATCTGGGTGAAGTTTTTATTTGTAAACATTGAGATTCGTATA